ACAAAACAGGAACCGATTATTGAATCACACAAGCTTTCTCTCTCTTCCTCCCTCTCCCTATCTATCTCGAGAGACATAGAGAGAGAGGGAGAGAGAGAGAGAGAGAGAGAGAGATGGGGAGGGGAGCTGGACTGAAAAGGAGTGAATGAGGAAAGAGAGAAAGAAATAAACAAAGATAAAGAGGTGCAGAGGGAGTGAAAATGCGAGGAAATGCGTCAGAGAGAGACCGAGAGAGTAAATTGGTTTTGCCTGAAAAAAAAAAATAGAAGTTGCCTTTTTCACAGTGTGTCGGCCAGCAGTTGTTAACAGATACTGCAGCTTCTCTCGCAAGTAGTCGATACTCAATACGAGTTAAAGCCTAGGGCCCCAGTATTGTATCGCATTAGCTGTTCAGTGATGTGATGTTTTGGCTACAGTTCATACAATTATCTCTACCTCTCTCCTTCCCCTTCTCTCTCTCTCTCTTTCTCCTTCTACCTTCATGTCTGTGCTCGACTATTTGTATTGAGACGAGAGGGGAGTGTCTTTTGAGGAAGTGTGTTTTACTGTTCTGCTCTCAGAGCCTGTGCTATACCGTTAATGGGTCATGACACTGACATATACCCAGAGTCTCCACCCCTCCACCCCCGTTTTACTGGTGTTTGGTTTGCTCCAGCCACTACATGCAGTGTCAAAAGGCAGAAAGTTGACGCTTCTGCTTTTTGTTTTACTCTAATGGGCACAGGCTGATTTCTTTGAATGGTAAGTAAGAGCAGAGTCATGGATACTGTGTGATGTTTTGTGTTGTAAATAGTCACTGTGCTATTTTATGAAAAAAGATTGGAAACTGAAAAATATTGTTGTTATTAGCTTTAGCTTAAATAACCAGACTGTTTCAGATGCTGAAGGACCACAGTCAAAATTTTACATGACCATTTTCCAACCTTTCTTTATCTTTTATTTAAATTGTATTGAACAGACTGTGTTCCCTTAAGACTGATATATAAAAATGGCCTCTGTTCTGACTGGCTGCCCTGTATTGTGCCTCGTCCAAAAAGCCAGAGTTCCCACATGTGCTGGAAAACCTGGAAATTTACAGCGTAGCTTTGCAGTCATGGAAAACACCTGGAAAATGAGAATTTCTGTAATGCCCTGTAAATATTTGTGAGGTCCTTGAAAAGTGTAAACTTAGGCTTTTAAGCCACCTGCATGTTTTAGCCAATGATGCCCTGTCCATTGAAGTTTGAGTGCTGCAGGGTCTCATGTGGACAGTTGAGTGCTATGGGGGGGTGCAGAGTATCCATGCACCGCAAAAACAACAAAAAAGCAAAGGAGCCACATATTATCAGGAGTGAACTGGAGAAAATCAACAGTTGAGGCACAGTTACAGCAGATCGCTAAATGTCTACCCATTTTGTCTACCCAGGAAATCCACCCATGATATTCAGCGCATCCCTAAAATACAGCTGGTACAGAGCATCTGAACTGTGAGACAAGTTTCGCAAAGCAGAGAAGGAAACGAGCAGATAGTTGTGGGCAGGAAGTTTCACACCATCCCACACGTCACACTAAATATGTAGACTAAAGAAAGTAGCACCTCTTGCACTTATTTTTAGGGGAAAAAAAAACAGCAGGTTTCGTTTTTCCAATTCGGCACATTAGCAACAATAGCAAGTTTCTTGAACTGCCAGCAAGCAAAGTGAAACTACATTATATTTCTAGGTAAAACTACTCACCTAGCAAGATGTTGTACAGTCCCATGTGTGCTCTCTGGTTCAATTTTACCCACCTTCTTTCTGATTGGTTATCTTCTAAAAAGTGACACAGGACAACTCAATCCACAGCAATCAATGGTGAAAAAAAATTTAACCACTGCGGCCAAAATACTCCCAGCAGCGCCCACAGAATCTCTGTCCTGTTGTAGCATAATGGTGTTTTGACAGTCCTCTATCTGAACCCTTAATTGATGTAGCATTTTATATTGGCTGCAGGCAGCCGGCAGTGACAGCGCTCACTAAGCTTAGTTTCTCTTTATTTTTTGCCGTCTGCTGCTGTACAAATGTGATGGGCTTAGACAGACATGATGCTTTACTAATGGGGCCTGGTGGCCTGACACCGGGCTTGGGGTGGGGCTAAACTGCTGTAGGCAGAAGAGATGGATATATGTAAATATGTTAACTTTTGTGACATGACAAAAACTGTGAATTCGAAACGGACAGTTTTTTGCAGTTTAATTTTGATGTATGGACTGCAAAGGCTGAGTGAACAATACATTTTGAATCTTTAGCATCAAACTTATTACTTCATTTAAAAAAAGCAAGGAAAAGTCAGTAGCGCTTTACAGTTCAGTAATAAGAGGGTAATAATATGGTAACAAGTCGTACTAACCTCAAAATTACAGGCTAATTTTTTGCTTGTTACTAAATAATAAGTTAGCAATCATAGTACAACTACAAACTTATTTTTCAGTTAATAATTGTAGTGCTAACATGTTGTTGATAAAGTGATAAGGAAATGGTAAGTTGTACTGCCCTAAAAAATGACATGCTAATTAGCTAATTGTTAATAAATAATGAGTAAGTAATTGTAGTGGCAAATAGTTCGTAATAAAATATTGGTAGCAAACTGTAATTACCCATACATAATATATTGATTTTTCAGGTAATACAAAATAGATAGTCATTGTAGATAAAAAAAGTATAGGTATAAGATGTCCAGCTCTTACTACATAATATCTGCTTAATCAATGTCAGTCAGAATGTTTTAAATCTTAGGATATTTTATTAGATTTATTACCTTAAAAACAATGCAGTAATTCTGCTAAAATTGCATAGTATCAGAGCTGTACAACACTGACTCATTTTGATTATTATGTCTTTAAATGGTCAGCTGCAGTATGATGTATGGACAGTTACAGGCTATAAATTACTGTAAAACTAATTGGTGTTAGATCTGTAACTCTAATACCAGTTAGTTTTACTGTAATTTAAACTGTAAACTTCGTTCTGTCTTGTTTCTGAGTTACAGCATCTCACATCAGGTGTCATTTTATTACCAACTTGTTGCCATTATAATTAGTAACTTGAAATTTAGCATGTCATTTTTAGGTTAGAACAACTACAATATTACCATATATTTACCCACTTATTACTGATCTGTAAAGTTGTCCATGATATGTGCCCTTTAACATGCATGCAGATGATACCCAACTTTTTACAGCACAGGTGAGGCAGACATTGCTAGCCATCAGTCCTAAACAGTCTTGGTCTGGAAGAGAGAACAGGCAAACACAGACTCTCACACGGACTCAGTTCTACAAAGGCCCTAATGGAATCACTTTTCTGTGAGTGGAGAATGCTTTTAACAGGAGATGGTATGTGAAGGCATTGAGCAAGAGAGCAAGTTTTAAGTAAAGGACTTTGGAAGTGTGTGTGGATGTGTTTATCCTGAGACATTATAATAAACAGTAGGATTTTTGGTTGGTTCTCTGGTGGTCCTGTGTTTAGTCTGACAGCATTAACTGTCCGGGGAGAACAGAGGCATTGGCGATTTAACATTCTCTGGAACACTGTGACACTGACTCTGCACAATTTCTGCCCTGAGGAGCAGATTATACACTTCAACTATGTGTGTGTGTGTGTGTTTGTGTGTGAAAAGTGATAAAGGAGTAACACCAAATTTTCCATTAGCAGCCTCTCTTCTCTCTGTCTCTGCACTGACCTAGTCTAAGAATAGAACTCAAATTGGCTATCCTGGTTCATTTTACAATGATCTCTCCAGTGGCGTTTTAATCAGTGTCATATATGCCTCCATATTCAACATTTTTGCCCCTGAAAACACAATTATAGGTATCTTCCCAAAAAAAATCTTCCCAAAATAACAAGATAAAGGTAAATTGACATGAATGGTCTTCTAAAGTACTGGTTTCCAACCTGGCCCCTTAGGGTCCCCCACACAGTCCACATTTTTCTTTTTATCCCTTCTCGTGTTGCGAGTTGAATGGGAGCAAAAATGAGGACTGTCTGGATGAGGCCTGAGTGTGAATGAATGAACGTCCTTCGCTGCGTTCTGGTGGCTAGGATTCAGCTGAGACAGATGAGTCTTCATTTGTTTTGCAAAACAGAATGGTCTACCAAGGACATTTTGTCACTTCATCACAAAGGAGCCAGCTCCCGACATTTGATGGAGACAATACTGCTGATGCGAACGATAGTAAGCTGACAAGCAAAACATGGATGTGAATGATGTGTTGTTGCCGGTAACACAGTCATTTGTTTGTATTATAATTAAATGCTGTCCTGCAATCTAAAAACTGCTCAGCTCCCTGAAAGCAGATGCATGTCACATCATGTATTTAGTCTACAGACTTTTAAACAGATAAACCAAAGAAACAATATACTTTATATTTTACTATAAATATTTCGGATCTTTTAAAACGACATGCAGTTCGCTTCATCTGAGCGTGAAGAACACTCTGTTTGCACACTCAAAAACTGTCAGAATGCAGACTGCATTACTGTGCTGTATTTGAAGAATCCTTCTGTTTGGAACAGCCTTCGATGACATAGCAGTCCCGAAATGCAGCCCACCTAGACCATTGTTTAGCTTTTGGAACGCAGCTGCTTTCATAATAATAAGACAGCAAACACTTTGTGTGTTGCTTAGCCTGCTGATCTTGACCCGGCAGCTTGAAAGAACTCATCCGTAAGTAAAATAGACTGTTACATTATATGAGAAGCTGCTGCCAAATGATGATGTTTCAAGTCAAGAGTATTCACCAGTTTCCAATACAATAGAAAGGACAATAAACTTACAGTGCTGATTCTGTACATTTCCTGCGGTTTGAGATTCTTGGTTAGTATTCTGATTATGTTATTGTGTATTGGGTATATTGTAAAGTGCCCATATTTGTGTATTAAATGCCTGAGTCTCAGTCACTGGTAGCACAAATAACCCCTTAAAAATATTTTGTATAATGTATAGTGCAACACTGACCTTGCTCATTCTCCCTCTCTCTTCAGATGTCCAACTACAAGCGTGCAACCTTTGAGGAGGAAGAGGGGGCAGACATTCCAGCCGATGGAGCCATCTCTCCCGATAGTGTGGAGGTCAGTGTGTGTGGTTATAGGTTACAGGTCATCAAGAATGTCATAGATAATATCACTGTGATTTCACCTGGAGAGGATGAGTAAGATTGCATTGTTCTTTGAAGTTTATACAGCAGAGGCAGGGATTTATTGGGGCCTTGTGATGTGGTAAGGTGAGGCCTACCCCATCACCAGTGAATACCATCCCTTGCACTATAAAATATGTATGTGTATAGATGTACTTACCTGTGTCTGCCTGTGAAAGGAGAAATAGCAAAAGGGGGACAGCAGGGAGACCTACGTACCTTATCCTTATCGGGAGGATCCACCGATGGGGAGAAAAGGGGGGGTCTATTCTGCATCTAATATCCTGTAGGAGGACAAAGAAAATAATTAAGCTGCTATAAGTTAATGGGCCCAGACAATGTATATACCTGTAATAAATTGTTTAACCGAGGTTGTTTGTATATAGCACTATCATTTGTTTCATGTGGAAACCACACTAGCAGCTTGTATTGTCTGAAGTAATGGTGTGGGGGAAGTTATAAAGGGAGTTGAGACCCAGCCTCGCGGCTGCTTCCCATGCCATGACTAAGCCTGACGCTTAGTATATATTGTAAATACTTTACTTTCCGTTTATTTTTCATTTTGTACAGTTTTTGTTTCCTGTTTTCACATCGTGTAAATAAACTACTTGTTCGTGCACTCTACTTTTGGTCTTGCCCATCCTATTGGTTGTCTCACCCTCGCAGACCTTACCAGTAAGCCACACATGAAACCCAAAATCCTCTTCACAGGGTTTAACATCTTCACAGGCCTTCATTCAAGTCAGTAGACTGATGTATTGCCTTCCCTAGACAGCATGTTCTTGCCTTTGTTGGTGTATAAATCATTGACACTAAATGTGGAAGCATCATGTGTTCATTACGATGGTAAATGATCTGAGTACTCATTGGCTATCACAAGGTCGCTGTTGATTTAGGGTTAATTTCCACTTCTGCAAATGATTAGACTCAATGACACGAATAATCCTGGGAAAAGAAGAAACTCATTACTCATCATGAAAGCAGAAACAGTTTGTGAACAGAAACCACATACTACACATGGTGTGCAGCACCGTGTGCCTTTGTTTTATCTGTAACAGACGTGGTGTACACTCACTCTTAACACTGAACCTCTTTCCTGTTTGCCCAAGGTAAGTCACCTAACCAGCCCATAAGCCAATAAGTACACTTCTTCTGTATGTCCTAGTAGAAACTAAGGGTAAAGGTAAACAGACAGCTCCGGTTCTCTTTCTGCTATCTTCATAGATTGGATTTGGGGTAATTTAGCACCAGTGTTTGAATTACACTCTGCTTTTGTTTTGGGGAGGTCTCTTCAAAACATGCCCAGATTTAGTCTGTTATCACCGCTGTCCCATGGAAAAACAAGTACCTCTGTAATAATAACTAGTAAAAGATGGAGACAAAAACACTTAACATTTAAAAAAAAGAGTGATTTCAGAGCATTTCTATCAGTCCATTCATCATATAGTTTTCACCCATATGCAAAGAATAGTCATCGTGTTTTTGTATTTTGATGTAGAAATATAAAAATCAACAAAAAATGAGATTCATGTTTGTCTCTGTTTTTGTTTTTTTTTGTACAATATACAAACTTGCATACGCAAAATCTGCATTGGTAACACTTTATTTAGAGTGGTCCTTTGTAGTTGATTAATAAACCCTTAATAGATTATTAGTAACACATCAACAACATAGTGAAGTAGCAGTAGTGAAGCATCTGAATACATTAAAGTGAATATGTTGAAGATGCACTGTTGATACATTAACAATACATCTACTTAAAGTAAGTAATGTGTTACTTCCATTGCGCAAAACCTAACCTTACCCAGCCTTACTCAAAAATCGAACCCTAACCCTGGTCCTAATCCTAACCCTAACCTTAACCTAAACCCAAAACCTAATCCAAACCTTCATATGTTTTTTACGTGTTACTGAGAGTCTTTTGAGTGTTTGTTTCATCTAAAAAGGGCCACTCAAAATAAAGTGTCACTGCTGCATTGCCTTATAATGTGCTGTTTTGTGTTGTCAAGTGTATTTGAAGTTTACAGTACAGTTGCAGGGGTGGTTCAAACTTTAGCACTGCTTTTAAGTTTCAGCTCTGATATGTATAGTGATGCATGAATACCTACAGATATGCTGTGTAGTTTGCTTAATGCACTGGAGCATAAACTCTGTGCAGACAGATTCTTTTAGGTGTGCTCTGGCCGTCTCACTCCTCTCAGAATTAAAAATTGTGCGCACTATTAACATTTTACATTTAACTTGGAATAGTGGCAGTTATACTTGTTGGAGAAGAGCTAGAAAAAGGCAGGAGAGATGGACTCTAGAATTTATAATTTTTTTTTTTCACAAAAAACACCTTTTACCACGTGAGCCAACTTTCCCCAAACTGGAGATTTTTACTGTGTTGGAGGGAACTCAAGTCTCTTCTGGGGTGGCTAAGCCCCCTTGGCTCCCCCATAATTTATATGCTGTTTAGCACCATCTTGACTAAACGTTGCTCAGCATTTGATCACTCAGTAACTGTTTTTTTGGAAGTTTGGGAATGAGTGTGGCCTTCATGTTAGTTTACAAAATCCAGCTATTACCAACCATATGAAGTTCAACTGCTTAGTGGTTGCCTGGACGTTTACCTCACACACCAACAATAGAGAAAAGCAAGCTCAGCAACACTTAAAAACTAACTTTCGTCAAAGGATGGGGTTGTTTGAGCCCGCTAAATGTGATGTAGGCTACAAAGCGCTTTAGCATCTGTGTTGCTGACGCTTCATGAGTCAGCGCCAACTTCTAATGAAACCCCACAAGGCAAAGCAAAGTGAGAGATACAGTCAAAGGCAAAGTCTATGAGAGAATAGTGGAAGGGGTACAGGAAAAATATTTATGGACTTTCCGTACCTTTGAGCATTACAATGTTAACAAAACAAGTACAGTTGAGCAATAGACTATATTTTTGTAACTAACAGCACTTTAATGGAATAGATCTAGTAGAGAACTGCATTATGAATTTGTATTTTAGGAGTTACAGTCTCCTCTGAATCTACCTTGAGACGCTTGAAAGCAGCCAGGTTTGCTGTCCAAGGCACTACTTGACACATCAGTTTCAAGAGTTAGTAGTTAGTTGTGCGTGGAAAGCATTTGCCACTGTGTAATTTGGTTCACATTAAAGTTTTCCTTTTTTCAATAATAAGTAAGGCATTTAAGAAAAATATAGTCTCTGTGCTTCTGCGAGTGAAGTAATCAAACCTCCAATAATCAGGTGTGAAAAAATTGCTCCCTCTAGTGAACCCAATTATTGTCATAATCAGGAACATGATTGCTTTTCTGCAGTGCTTTCTATCACCACCCTTTCGACAGAGATAGAAAAGCTGCTTGACTTCATACTTTCAGATATCACTGGAAAAGGTCAACTTTTGCTGACTTTTATTTGTTTAAAAATAAATCAATAATGAATTATTTTGCCTATTGGCACCTCTTTGATTCAGCCCTGAAGCTAGAAGCTATGTTCATTCCCTCACACACTTGCAGAGTTTCAAATCCTTGGTCAGTATTCACACTTTTTCAGTGGTTTTTAGTAGGTTTATACCAACATGGCATACCAACAGCCAGGTATGATGGTGGACAGGATAGGATGTGTTGTCATCAAGGCCATCATTTGAGATACATAGATTTGTGCTGTAGTAAAGATCTTTCACGCAAGACAGGTTATAATAAAAAAGCAACATGGACCAGTTATTGCTGCTGAAGGCATACCCATTTTTTGAGAAAAGGGGGCAATTGCTTTTCACTTCACGTCATTGGGTGGTGTACAGTCTCACGTAGGGAGACAGTCTGTTAGTGGGCTTGTCTTAAGCCAGTGACTCTCTCTTTAAGCCACTGTCACTTTCATTGAATCTGAGGTGATCTGGAGAAAGAAAAATAGTCATAATAATGGAATAAACTACTACTATAGCTTCATATTTAGACTGGTGTTATAGTTTTGTCAGAATTGACTATATTAAAATTATTTTAGCTACTGTTTTCTGACAAGACATTGTAAAAAGAATCTGTGGTGTTGAGTCGGAATAACAGCCAAGTATATTGCTAATAAGTAGCTAATCTATGTGGTTATGGGGGCTGCAGGTTGAACAGGTCCAGATTTTCTGTGGCTAATCCTTCACAGGCAGTCCATTACAGTTCTCACCAAAGGAACAGTTTTGATTGTGCAGGATGTTTGTGTCCAGTCTAATGTAACAGGGTGTATGCTCGTTTTTTACTAAAGATGCTTTACTAATGTATATTTTTGTGTCTTAGGTGGGCTTCCGGAAGGGTGGTATCCAGTTTTTTGGTCCGTTGGGCCGGAGAACTCAGTTGGAAGTGGTGTTAGCTGGTCTGCTCTTGGCTTCTCTACTAGCTCTTTTCGGTTGTGCCATCACTCTAGGGGTCCACTATAACAGAGGTGAGACTCCTTTATTCGCACTCTCTGGTCTGAATTCTAATGTGCTTAGGAGTACAGTGAGGGAGGGAGGGAGGGAGGAGAAGAGAGTGTTTAACTGGGAGTAAAGATCATAACTTACCAATTCTTCAGTAGCATGTGGTAGTTCAACTAAAATTCTAGTAGTTTTGGCAAGTAGTTTAACTAAGGTGGTAGTTTTAGCATTAGCTCAACACATTTTAACAATCCCTGGGCTATCCAAAGAAAAGATTATCTGTTTTCATCATTAATATACTTTTGCACATTGTTTCTCATTATGTAGCTTTAAATCCACTTTGTTAGCCACATTTCAACAGTTAGGAGTAACTTCTTTGACAACTGTTTGGCTTTTCAGAAGCTTGCAAGCAAGTTAAGCTTGCTAGTCATGTTTCCATCCACTTGTCAAGTGAATAATATGACTGTTAAACAAATGGCAAAAGATAAAAATGATTTTTGCTACAAAACCACATACGAAGTGTGAAGAGGTGACTGACTTTGTGATTATTTATAATCTATTAAGTTATTGAATTCCAGCAAAGTGTGTGGTGGTAACACTCTGAGTCTTCTTCCACAGATCCATCACGCAGCCTGTGCTTGACGGAAGCGTGTGTGACAGTGGCCAGTAAGATTGTGGAGTCATTGGACCGCACTGTTGACCCCTGTCAGGATTTCTATCAGTACGCATGCGGGGGCTGGATCCGCAAAAACCCACTTCCTGATGGCCGCTCACGCTGGAGCACCTTCAACAGCATCTGGGACCAGAACCAGGCTGTGCTCAAACATCTATTAGGTGACAGCTGGTCATGTTTGTCATAAATAACACACTTCTTCATGCATTTTAGGCCTCAAATGCGTACACCACTCTTTGTTCGTCCTTCTGAAAATCAATAGGAAAACAAAGAAATCTTCATTCATTGTTTTCCTCTTAACTGAACACCCTGGAAGTCAGTTGCAGAAGTGCAACCTTGGTATATTTCAACACACCATGAATTAGCATGAAAGCAAGTAGCATGAATTCAACTTCGGAATTGCTTTTCTGATACACTCCTGAGGGTAAAAATAGATGCTGTTTTATTGTTTCCAAGCGTCCAATATGTCAGCTTGTGAGGCTTGATTCTTAGCTAAGAAAAGTGTTTTAAACTCTTAAATAAGCTTGAACTCTTTACACATAAACATCTGTATTCACTAGAGTTTGGAATTAGGGCCATCATGATTATTTAATTAAACTCGATTTAAAAAATCATCAGTTTACTGATGAATCTGTGATGATTAGCTGGCAATTTTCATGATGATGATAATACATATTTTAAATTCTTCTGCTGGTCTCTCCTGTTGTAAGAAACAGCCTGATGCTTTTTTGCCACAAAACTAGTTCTGGTAACGTCTTTTTAAAAGTGTTTTTGTTCATCTTAAGCTATACTAGGTTTCAAAGATAAGGCTGTAAAGATAAATAATAAGTAGATAACTTTAATTACTGATCTGATCGATAGCCTTATTTCAAATACTCAGTACCTTCCTTTGCAAACAGTATTGCTTCTCACGTTACTTCACCCACCTCCTCCTTTGTTCCTGCTCCATTGAGAGCAACAACTTGCTGCATCTGAGCTCTTTCAACCTTCCATGTCCACCCATCACTCTTCATCTGAGCTTTTGTACACTTCTTTCTCCCCTTTCTTTTGTCTTTTTCTCAAAGTCACTTCATCTTTATTCCTATATTACTCATCCGGGCTAGTTTTGCGTTAAGCGCTCTGATATTTCCGAGACAAAGTGTGTGGGTGTATTTATAGGAAGAGTTAAGCAAAAAAATATGAATGAAGGCTAGAATGGTCCAGTTTTCTTTTTTTTAGTCTAGTGGAACAAACAAACTGTTCTGTCCCTTCCAGCAACCACTATGAATCATTAGTGTGGAAGAGTCTGTGTTTTGCTGTGTAGATATCCATCATTCTTTTAAGAATTTGGAACGACTGAAGCATTTTGAATCCCTGTCCAGCAGACAGCAGTTTTTACAGTCAACGTTTCAACAATAAATTGTTAGCTTTTAACTATTTAAGCTGTTCGTTGTTGAGGTCACACATTTGTACACACATTTAATGAGGCTGTATTAACAAATACTTTAGATAAGTAGTTGAAGCTTGCAGTGGATGGAGAGCACTTGCTGAAAGAGCTAGGAAGAGCTGAGTGTGGCCAGTGGCCAGAGAGGAGCTGCATAGAATAAACCATATTCACACGGTAACAGATGTTACAAGAAACGGCCAAAGAGTTGTGTCCTAAAGGCTGGCATTTGTTCTATGGATCAAGTAACTCTGAGAGCTAGTCTATCTAGCTAGTCTTTGGTGAGCACTTTGGGTGGGTGGGTGTAATGTTTATGTACTGTTTTTGTTTTATTTTGAGAACCCTCTGCAAAGAAGATTTCTCTGACTTCTTCTATACCATATTACAGTCATATGGAAAGGTTTGGAGTCAGATAACATGTTTTGTTGATTTTCGAAGTGAAGATAAATTAAGACAACACTCTCCTGCACATTTTAATGCACAATTACTATTTATTTGCAGAATTTAATACACTGGAAAAAAATACATTGCCATTGGTCTGTACAAAAGTTATGGCACACTTATGTATATTGTTTTGATATATAATCGCTGTTGTCGAAAGAAAACCTTGTATCTCCATTTTTTAGGTTTTTCAGTTTTTGACATAATTTGAAAATACCTGTTATCCTTTACATTTTATGTAAATTTCATGATGAATGGACCAAAAGAAATGGCCCAAAAGGACTTGGACAAAGTCTGACTCCGTATGTTTTTTCCTTCTCCTGTAAAGTTACCATTTTGGAGATACAAGGTTTTCTTCCGATAACAGTGATATATATATATATATATATATATATATATATATGTGTGTGTATGTGTGTGTGTGTGTGTTTTGTATGTGTGTGTGTGTGTGTGTGTGCACAGCACATAAATAGAAACTGTGCTCTAAAAGTAGCAGAAAAAAAGTTCAAAATCACATTTGTTCTCTGTAGAGGATGTGTTCACTTATTTTCTCTTAGAAAATCAACAAAACATAATCCAGGGGTGTGTTCAAACTTTTGCATATGACTTTAAATACCAGCGGTGCCCAAACATTTTGTGTTGGTGCAATATTTGTGTTGGACCGAGGACCAACAGCATAAAACAGTTCTGAAAATGTAAATCTGTTGGGTTTTGTGACTTCCCAAAAACAGTGAATTGGCTGTTTTTGCAGCTTGGTTTCCATAAGTGAATATGTTCTGGAGAGTGAACAGTACATTTCCAGTCTTTAATGATGTTTACAAACTACATCACTCTTATTTAAAAAAAAAAACAAAAATGAGAAAAATGTGGTTGTTTCACAATATCGGGTCTTTAAAGTTGGGTGTACAGTTCTAGAAAATACTTTTAATTGTTATAGAACATTGACAGGAGGAGGTTCTGAAAACTCTGGAAAGGCTTCTCACACTCACACACCTCATTTACAGAAGTGATTGTTTTATGGCATCACTCCAAAGAAGGTTTTTTGGCACCCTTAGTTGTAAGAGTGTACAGTAAAACAATTACTTAGGTGAGCAGTGAGGCTATAAAGAGGCATGCTGAGAGAAGCTAAATGCTCCAGCAAACAGTAGATAAGGGAGTATTCCCTCAGCACCTGCAGTCTGCTGCAGCAAGAGACCCAGCGCTGCGTCCAGCCAAATGAGGGAGAACAGGCACGGGGGAGCATGAGTGAAGGATTTGTGATGTATTTTTAGAATGAAGTATGGTTAGAATATGGAATTGGAAAGTGTCAGTGGGGAAGAGATGATGGAAGCGAGGGAAGGTGAGTGTGTGTATAAAAGAGGTGAGGTGAGGAGCAGGAGAGAGAAGGTGTGACAGGCTTGTAAAACTGCTGTGTGTTCTTTGTGCTTACTCAGAGACAGAGAGGCATATGGAGGGTTTGTGCTGATGCGCCTGGTCGATTGTCTTCTATTGCCCAACAAACACAAAACAAAACACGAGCAAGTATTGGAAAATGCTGTGAGAGCGGTGTTGAATTGCGCTCAGCTCGAGGGCACACTGCCAGATCTTGCTCAGACACGCGCACACACATACACGTACTTCCTTGTCTTCAATGGACCGTACCTGCTGACCAGTAATTGGTCTGCCACTGTGCGCCTGTGCATTTTTACCAGAATATTCCTGCCTTCTTAATGTAATTACACTGGACGAAAGAGGAAAGAGATGAACTGAAAGGAACAGCTGCTACTGGCTTTGCACACAGTGTCCCTGCTTCTTTTTTTTTTTTGCTGCACAAGCACATGAATTAGCACAGGTTATACGTACACACAGAGAGTACAAGGTCATTTCTCTTTTCACAATTCAAAGGGAGCATTGTCATGGCTGTAGCTCATGGACGAGGAGAAGCAGAGGTGCTGTTGACAGGGGCTTGCACTATTCCTCATTGGAATGAGGTTAGCGGTGACACTGATGCAGTTTTTCCCTTCTTTATAGCACAGGCTGCTAGTGAGACTGACGCCAGAAGCTAACAGGCACGGAAACTGTCTCTGCTCGGCCTGCTGAGTTGATGTATTAGTGTCTGTGTTCTGTCGCTGAAGAGTGGCGCTTGTCTAGTGTGCATTGAAAAGACAGGTGACAGGACCCTTTTTTTCCTTCCACAGGCCTGTTAGGAAGTAATCAGTGGCCATTAGCTGAAAGCCAGCCAGGATACTGCAGGAGAACAGCAGGCAGTCCCATAACCCTTTGCTCTGACCTCAGGGTTGGTTCTCTCTCATGCCGTCATGCTTATTTGCCTCAGGGATGAACCCTGCTGGGCCTCAGACCCCACTTTGCCCCTTAGCTCCATGACATAGCCTGCGAGTCATGTTTTTTTTCTTCCTTTAAGTACTTTCTTTTCTTTCTTCTTGTCATGTCATTTCACTCTTATCTTCCATGGTCTCTCAGGCTGAATGTTCTGACAGCAAGCATTCAAGCGCATTTAAGCTTGTATCCTCGACCAGTGTGAAGCTGTTCGTTTGTTCAGTGTAGTAGTGACGATACAGATAAGTGAGACAATCTTGAATGTTTCTGTTGTATTTGAACTCTTGTACTTAAGGCAAAAGTTTCATAACAGTTTGAAATGCATGTTCCCTGCATCATCACTTAATGGATCCAAGGCACATGATCAGAATAACAATAATATATACTATGTGTGCCTCATTCCTGACTGCAGTCGTGGATTTCTCATACTGAATTGTTGAAAACGGCATGCATTCTTCTATATACACATACAGAAATAGACTAAACTTAGTGAAATAAGTTATTTTTACACCTATCTGTATATCACACATCTAGCTTATGAAGGTGCTATCACATTTACAATATAAAAAATAAGTACGTAATGTCCAGTAGTAAAATCAAGCACACTGCACTTTTTTCCTAGTATCATTAGTGTGGTCACATCAGAAACTCAGGTTTGGAAGCTTCAAATCTGATCAGTACAACTGTTTCACTGTGCACAAATGATTAGAATAATATGGCGTTAGCATCACCATAGCATAGCAAAAGCAAGGGCCAAGTGATTTCTGTCTCCTCAAAAATGCTCAGTGAAAAAATGCTCAATGCAAGTGTTACAAATTGTAGTTCATCTTGCACTTCTATAATATAGGATGAACTGAAAAGTGAGAAGTTCTTGCATCCTCATGCTTTTTTCCCCACCTCAAGTAGAGCTCTGACAAAGCTCACCTTAGTCAATCATCAGTTTTGACTGGTCGATATCACCATGACAACACTTACATGGCTGCATGCTGCAGTTGGTGAAAAAATGTTGCTGTTTTACACCAAAATTTTTCAATAGGGCACAAAACAACAGACATAGTGTTAGCCTGCTCAGTCGTTTCTGCAGACTGTGGGAACATAGCTGAACTGTGATTCTAGTCTAAGCTACTACTTACATAGCAAGTGAGTTGGGTTAGTAGTAAAGTTAACCAAGGTAAACAAAGTTCAGAACTGGGGTGAGAGGAGGGGAACAAAAAACTGTGCATTTGTCCCAGAGATCTAAGCCTACTGTTGAAAAAAGTTAGGTCTGTGGTTAATCAGCTACTTGTGTATGCTGTCAGCTAGGCAGTTTATTGCGAGGTCAGCAATCATGTATTGTGTGTGAAATTTCAGTGACCTCTCAATGATTGGTAGCTACAATGAAGTAGCTTCTTCACTATATTGATTTCTCTAGGCCGTAATGCTTCCCTCCAACCTGTAACCAGGCCCCATAAAAGGAAATTGTGGCTACATATTAGCATAGCTAAACCCACTCTGTCTCTTTTTATGCCTCTAGAAAATGGAACTTTTAACTCGAGTAGCGAAGCAGAGAAGAAAGCTCAGTTCTACTACTTATCCTGTCTGAATGAGCAGCGCATCGAGGAGCTGGGAGCTCAGCCACTCATCGATCTCATTGCTAAGGTAAGACACTCTTCAGCGCCCCTTTTGGTGATGAGTTCTTATAATTCTGAGTGACCTTACTGTAGACAGATTGCAGTCAATACTTTGGATAAAACTCATTTTGCTAAGTGAAAAAGAGCACTGTGATGCAAAGCAGTGCTTTGCTTTGTTAATAAGAATCTGCTGTTCTTTTTCTGTCGTATTAATTTGCAGCAGTTTGATACCCTGGGGCTTATTTCATACAGCAGGTTATCTGCATAAGCTCATTAACATTGATAAAAATGGGCTTATTAATGATACCTTGGTGCTAAATTCATCTGCAAGCTTTTGAGTTATGACTCCTAATTGTACCTGTAGGATTTAAAAATGTATAAAATGTGTACCTGCTTTCTCATGTGTCTCCAACACACTACTTTGCACAGCCATTTTTAGGTTAGCATTCTCTAAAACTGCCCCTCTCTAGAGATTAATAGCATTGCTTGTGAAAAAGAAGAACACTTATGTCAAACAGCAGTCTGTGTGTCTAATTTAAAGCCTTCCGCCCGTTGCTGTCCTGCTGGAGAAAAACGATTGTGGAGAGAGGGGAAGAGAATGATGGTGAGAGAAGAGAGTGATTAGGACGGTTGCTGATGAGCTATCTCAGGAACAGACTGTCTCTCCTTCTGTCTGTGTGCTGAGGTTGTTACAGTGATTGAATGGGCTTGGCTGTCTCTAGATTTAGCTCGTATTCTCTGAGGAGAGCCACACTTAATTGAGTTTGATGTCTAACATCAGCTCTAACTTGATTGCGTTCCTGTTTCGGCATGTGTTGAGTAGAGGGTTTTGCTTGCCATCTTTTCTCTCTCTCTTAGCAATTTAACACCTTCACCACAGACACACAACCACATGTCCAAGAATCAGGCAGTGGATTTGGATTTGGGTTTGTTTGTACCATATACTGAGGCTACATTCACACGGCAGGTTTTATCGTAGCACAAATCTGATATATACATGTATATTTTTGTCTGTACATATCAGATTTAGGTTGTTATGGATTTGTTCCAAGATTGCAGGTCAGGATAATTTCATAACAGCCCATAGGAAGAGCATGGAAAGACTAACATGTATTATTTCTGATCCCTCCCACCTGCTACATCGTGAAATACAACATTATGCCTTCAAACAGATGGTTTAGAGTACTGACAACAAAACTTAATGGACTTAAGAACACTTTTATTCCTCAGTTATTTTTGCTGCTTAACATTTTAAGACAAGTGTGTATTTAGTTATATGTGCATCCATTGTGTAATACTGGGTGAAAGTGTAGTGTTATAGAGTATTGGAACATGGAGAACGTGTAAAGTATGTTGTAAGGTGTGTTAGGTGACTGTGGTGTGTGTTTATGTAATAGAGCTGCTGTGATGCAAAAAAAAAAAAAAAAAAAAAAAAATCAGACACATCTGTTTTGTATCATATGTAATGAGAATTTTTTGTTCCAAGCTTTAATTCTATTTTGGCCATTTCCATTGCTTCTTTCATCATGAAATTTTGTTGCAGTATAAATGGTAGAAGGCAAAAAAAGAACACCAAAAATGGAGATTTCTCGTCTAAAAAAGGGATTATTGGTTACACTGCTACCCAGGTGATCACAGCCCTACTCACACAACGTACACACGATTTCTTTAAGTTTAATTTGAAAAATATTAAGTAACACTGAGCAGCACAACCACTTTTAGGTAAGTTGTTCATTGGGTTACATGTCAGTCATTGTATCTAATTACATCGCCCCATCACCCAGGCCTAGTTGTCACTTTAATGACAGAACTGTCAAAACAGAAAGATCAGATTTGACCATAATATCAAAATTCAGCAACAAAGATTGTAATGTGAACTAAACTTTCCGTTCCTAGAGAACCACAGCACTGTATGGTTTAGTGATTTCCTTGTTCAGAACATGTGATAACGTAAGGCTTGATATGTAGCAGAGGGCTAGAACAGAACAGTGTCTAATGCTGTATTTCCTCAGTAGCAGGAGTGGAGAGTGCTGCGCTGTACTGCCTCAGAAGAGTTATTTATAAAAGTGTGTGTGTGTGTGTGTGTGGTGTGTGTGTGTGTGTGTGTGTGTGTGTGTGGGTATATATGTTTTTCAGACTGGGGGTTGGAACATCACTGAGCCCTGGGATAAGGATAACTTCATGGATGTGCTGAAGACAGTGTCAGGCCCATACAGAGCTCAGCCCTTCTTCACTGTGGGGGTCAGCGTGGACCCCAAAAACTCCAACAGCAATGTCATTCAGGTACACACTTTAATTACCCTAAATTAATTGGTCCAAATGGTTCACGTTCAGATGTAGTTTCACTGATGTTTTTCTACACATACCTAGCACAGAGGTGCCCAGTCTTATTCAGTAAAGGGCTGGTCTGGCTGCTGATTTTCACTCCAGTCAAGCAAGTGCTCAACTGAATTTGCTTCAATTTAAATAAGCAACCTCAGTCCTTAAACAGTTGAGCAGGTGTGCTCTTGCTTGGTTCGAACAACAAAAGAAGCCTTTTGTGGAGAAGATTGTGTAGCAAAATTGTGTATGTCTGAAATGGACATTTTGTAGAAAAAAGAGAAAGAGGTAATAGGGTCCATAAAGAGGGTCCATATCCTACATTTTTCTTATGATATTTTATTCTATAAGGTCCACTTATGACACTGGTGTGGTTATATGTACAGAAAAATATGAAATTCCGCATAATTCATTTTATTTGACTATTTTTATAAACTGTCTTAACCCTCTAGAATAGGTGCTTTTGTTACTGTACCTTTAAGCCTGATATATGTAAATGAACTCTATGAATTATTGTTCCTCATTTGTAAAGCAGTCCAGGCTGAAACGCTCCTTATAACTTCAAGGAGAATGGGTGGAGCTAAACTGCTGTAGGCTGAAAAGGTGTATATATGTAAATGTGCTGGTTCTCATGACATCATAAAAACAATGAGTACTAAACTAAATGTTTTTGCATGTATGAACTGCGGTGTGAATGATGCATTTTGAAGCTTTTAATAATGTAAATAAAAAAGTGAAAATGTGGAGTTTTAGATATGACTGCAACAATAGATTTCTTGCACAAGTTAAGCTGAATTTGTATTTTCAGTCCCAAGACCATAACAAAGTTATTATCAAGCAAAAAAAAAATTCTTTTTTTTTCAAATCCCCAGTACACTGGATGTTTGGAGGAAGGAGGTATTCTTTCACTTCTTCTCCTGGAGGGCCACATTGCTGTTTTTAGTGATTTTTTGCTCAGCAGCTTAACGAGCACTTTGTGAAGTAGCGAACTAATTAGCTGTGATGCTGCTAAAGTGTGCTATAGTGTTTTCCTACAGGAGTTTTAGAGTCCCATAATAGATACTATCAGTTCGCCGATGGTCTCTTTCTAAAGATGTGCAGTATTTGCTGTTCTGAGTTGAATGTTCATTTCAGTAAATGCTGGATGTTTAATGCTCTTATATCTTGTATTTGCTCACCTGTGTGTCCAGGTGGACCAGTCGGGGCTCTTCCTTCCCTCTCGGGACTATTACCTCAATAAGACTAATGAGAAGGTAGGTTGCTCTGTGTTAATGTTACAACACACTAGATTTACCTCATTAGGCAACAGTCAGGACCCTCATTAGTGGACACAATGAAAGCAGACTCTCCTGGAGTAATGTTGGAGATGCTGTAGTGGTTGTCTAGTCACTCTTCAGGCTGCTGACCCTTGTTGTCCGACAAAGACAAAGAGCAGTAACTGCACTCTTAAACACAAAGGTGCTGAAAATGGTTTGTTGAACTGATGCTTTTAGAATAACCACTTATTGAACTGTACTAGGACTGTATGTCTAAGCCAAAAATCAGCAGGTTTTGGCAGGATTTTGTTTCTTTCCAAACCAGTATGTTGTAATGATAATTATGTAATGGTAATTACTATTATGTAGTAATGATAATTATGTAACTACTATATAATTTTAAAATAAATACAAATAAACACAAATGTAATAAAACTTAACAAGGTTTTGTGTTTAAAAAGTTATTAATATCTTGGTTAGAGGAGTAAAATTTGATAAACATAGATTTGTTTCATGACTTTTCTCTGCACTCCAGTAATTGCAGGGATTTGTGAAATTCCATCAGCAGCACACGTGATATAAATTAATAAAGTATTCATTAGTTGACACAAGTATTGGATGGTAACTGTAAATACTAGAGTTCCTTCAGGAGATGTCTGGAAATTGTTAAGCTAACACAGACATAATCACAATGTGGTGTTCATTTATATTCATTGTAATGCTGGTGTTTTTAACAAATGAATGCTTACTGCCTGGACATAAAGATTTACATACAGTTTTCTCAGACTTTTGCACAGTATTGGATATTTGTCCTACAGCACTTACATGTTTGACTGCACAACAAACTTTGAATTTTTTTCCCACTTTTTACTGTTGACGCTCTCATCGGTGTAGTGCAGGATGCATGCAGTTCCTCTGTTTTAGTTTAGCTGAAGTACATTCATTTCCCACATTGGCTCCGCTTGTCTTGCGGCAGATGTAGAACTGAGCGATGTGTTTGCCGTACATTTCCATACTGCATGTGTGGGACTAATACGTGGGTTGACTCACAACAGCTGGCAGTTGTGGTTTACTGTTACAGGTCATATGGGTTTGGGTAGACATTATAAAATATTTATGTTTTGTTTAAGCCCTGTCTGCTTATGAATATTGTATGTTCTGATACTTGTTTAGTCACAGACTCTGCATATAAATTGACTCAGTTAAAGAGTGATTAACCGACCTTGTTACAGAACTGTTGAACCAGCTCTAGCCCGAGTCCCATGATAAGAAAAAGTTAATATTTGCCTCTGTAATCACTGGATATCACAGTCATGTGATCTGAATTACTATAAATTATTTTGTCTCTTAGGTTTATCACTGCAAACATGGCTGCCTATTAAGACGACTGACTGGCTTATCAGTTGGTATGGGGAGATGATGTGGTGTCTGTAAATGTACTAGAGAACTCAAAATTAAGGGTGTAGGGAATTCAGTACAGTATTAAAAAATAGAGAATATTAATGTTTGAAACAGTATCATAAAACTCTATTGCCAATATGCCCCTTGGCCTCTTTTGAGGGCCACTCATTTGTCATCTTTCTTGTCTTTGATCAAAATTAGGCATCTGGGTGCATCATATCAGAGTAAAGCAGCTGGGGCTTATGCTATGCATTCACACAATATCAAATGACTAGTCGTTTTTTAAGTCACTTAAATTCTAGGGATCGCAATTTTTATCGAAAAATAAAATTAAACATTGACCTCAGAATCAAAATTTGACTCAAACCTAAGAATGTATATTGTTACTTTTATTAAAAATTAAAAATTTTATTAAAAAGTCAGGCTGTAAAACTCCTCACTTTAGAAAGCATGTAGCAGCAGACTGCTTCAATGGTGCACTTCCAGGCAGTTCTATATTGTTAGCATAGAAGCAGCATGTATTGCTAGGTATCTGGCATCCAGGCAAGATGATGAGTCAGTCCAACTGCTGATGACCGTTCACTTTAGGTGGATTTTCTCGTTCTGTCTACAAAATAGTTGGATGACCATATAAAGTCATGCACAGCAGGTTATTCCAGGATGTGATTTTGTTTAAAATGCTTTGTAGAAGTCATGTTTTTTTTCTGTTTATTTGTTATGGAAACATCTGACTAACCTCTTGTAGACAGATGTTGGATTGCAGTCAGTCTGGGTCAGAGTTCTCTTCATGTTGTATGTGCGTGTTTGTTAAGGTATTGAAGGCATATCTGGACTACATGGTGGAGCTGGGTTTGTTGCTGGGAGGAGATAAGAACTCCACTCAAAGTCAGATGCAGCAGATTCTGGACTTTGAGACGGCGCTGGCCAACATCACTGTACCCCAGGACGAACGCAGAGATGAAGAGAAAATCTACCACAAAATCACCATCGCTGAGCTGCAGGTGCGTGTCGAAGTCCACCTCCTGTTTTTGACAGATTTTCTCTGTGTTCCCCTGCTGCTGCCTCTCTTCGTTCATTACCTTAAAACAGTGTTTAATCTGGCATGCTGGAGTCACCCAGTCATGCTGTTGACAGAATTTAGCACCGAGGTCCACAAGCTCCACGCTTGTGAGAAAATGGATGTGACTCATTTGAAAACGTGGTTCAGGTTGGGTCAGTAAGATAGGAAGTTCTCAGACTGTATTCAGGTTTGGGCCAAAATTCCAGATGCAATTAAAGCTCTGATGTCTGGGGTGTGCGTAGCAGATGTTTAGCAATGATGAAAGAAAATCATTACATTCTCTCTCTCTCTCTCTCTCTCTCTCTCTCTCTCTCTCTCTCTCTCTCTCTATCCCTCTCTCTCTCTCTCTCTCTCTCTCTCTCCCCCCCCCCTCTCTCTCTCTCTCTCTCTCATTCTCATCCTTCTTTCTTTACTTTTCTTTGTTTCTTTGTTTGTTTCTTTCTTTCTTTCTTTCTTTCTTTCTTTCTTAAGCCCTATTTAGATTGGATTCATTTTACATGAGGAGGTGGAGTAGTGTAATCTTTACCTGTATAGAGTCAGCTTCTTATTTACTAGCTTCTTGTTTGAATTTTCCCATTCCACCTTAAATGGTGGAGCAGTTACTATTATAACGCCTGAGGCCCCAGAATGTAACTGCTGGACCATTTAAGGTGAAACGGGAACAAGAAACTGGTGAATAGTAAGCTGACCTCAGCCCCCAAGCCGATATGTAACGTTACTGCCCTGCCTAACGTGTACAACTCAGAACATGTAAAAATTACAGAAAAACATTTGATATTAGATTAGATTCAACTTTACACATAAATCGAGTAGCCGCTCCCGTCTCTGTCATTTAGACCGAGATTTCTTATCCCGTGCGAATCGCTCATAAACGTTACAGACGTCCTGAGGTAAACTGGCAATGCCCACCTCCCCGTGGAGAACTGATCTCGTCCAAATAGGGCTTTAGTCTTTCTTTCATCTTGCTCTGTTGTTTTCCTGTCTTTCTTTTCTTTCATCCTTTCCCCTCTCATTTTTTCTTTGCTTCTTTCGCTCTGATTCTTTGTCCTTTCTTTAAATTTCTTTCTCTTTCTTTCTTTTATCTTTTCTTTCCTTCATTTTTTTCCTTCTTTCTCTCTTATTCTTGTTTTTTCTTTCTCTCATACCCTCTTGCTCTCTTTATTGTTTCTTTTCTTTCTCTTTTACTCTTTCTTTCTTTCTTTCTGTCTTTTTATTTTTTCTCCTTTTTTCTTTACCTATTTCACGCTCATTCTTTATTTTTTTTTAAATTTCTTACTTTATCTTTCTTCTTTTTTCTTCTTTACTCTCTTTTACTCCTTACTTTCTCTCTCGCTCTCTTTTTTTCACTTCTTTTCTCTCTCTCTCTCTCTCTCTCTCTCTCTCTCTCTCTCTCTCTCTCTATGATGGGTTCCCTTGCAGGGAGACATTCTGTCCTTTGTCCAGTATCCTATCCTTTCAGTGCTTCTCCCCAGGGAGAGGCGCTATTGTTCACACCATCCTCCATAATCTACCTTTTTTATCATTTCATTATTTGCCAGAATCTTCTCCTCCTCTTACACTGCTTCCAGCTCCCTTTTGTTTTGTCAAGGCCTGCGATTGCTATGGCAACTGTTGCTAAGTAACATTTCTCTTTTTTTTTTCTTTTTATGGAGCAGACAAGAGAAGAAAGAAACTGAGGGAGCCAGAATCAGGGATAGAGCTGCTTACTGGTTAAATTTCTCCAGCTGTCTGAGGGACTTTATATCAATAACAAAAGGCCAATAGCGTAAAAGGCTATTATGAAGGCACTGATGTGTCCACTGTGAACAAAACTCCTCAAAGTGAAACAAGCTTCTCAAGATGGCAGCCATGCTGCGGGGGTTTGGACCATGTAAGGTGGCTGGAGAGAGCAACGAAGCTATTTACTAAATGAGTGTGTAGCGCTTAGCAAGGGCATTTGGCCAAATGTTGTTTTTTCTGAATTTATAAAAATCCAACCATAAACATAAGACAAAGTGCATCTGCTTTGTTAATGTGTTGAGCCTGTTCATCATTATTTGAAAAGTTCTGTCCACCTAACTCCAACACAAATTCCTCTTTTCACTGGGATAATGCATCTTATTATAAAATATACTGAATCCAAATTATTTTGCTGTTTTGGCTGTCATTGGCATTCTCTCTAGTGTAGTACAAGTCTGGGCTGCTTTTTGAATAAGGCCAATCAGAACAGAGGCATCAGTCAAAAACAGCCTGTTCATTTCTAAGAGATGAGGAGAGATTGGGAAAAGGAATTGATTTATGCATACAACCCAAATCTTATAAGAACATCAGAATAGAAAAGAAGATACAGTAAAAGAAATGTATGATATGGCTCCTTTAAATTGTCTCTCATTGAAATAACAAGCAAGTTAGCGTGTCACAAATTTTGTGATTTAAGCTTTAAAATATTTGACCCTCAAAAACATCTTCCAGTACTTAACATGAGGTCAAGCACCTTCATAAATTCATCTGAGCAGGATTTCTGAGGGTTATTTTCACTCTGATTTGAGTAATTTCCTCCACTTGAACTCAGATGAAGCCTTCCGGTACTTGTTCCAGTGAATGAACAACATTTATATCTTGGAGTCCATGAAACTTCACTCTTCAACACTTCCCTGCTTTTCTTTTTACTCACTCTGTTCACACACATGCATTTCTTATTACCCACATATTACCTGAATAGAAGCTAAAGCCCCCAGGCTTTTAAACTTTATTAAGACAATAACGTTCTTCTTCTGTGGCCTGCTGAAAAAAAGAACTGTATTTTTATCACCTCATCTTCCCCCTCTTCCCAGACTCCCACAGCAAGGATGAGGGCTGTATGGGGTATAAAGGCTTTAGTGTGTATGTGTGTGTTTGTGTGTGTTGGCTATGGGGGTTTTTAGTGTAATATATCCCAAGGGCCAGGCAGCTGTAATTGCGTCTGGGTCTCTGGAATGCAAACATACTGGCGAGTGTCTCTGTCTTTGTGTGTGCATGTGTTGCGCTTGCTTGTTGTTTTGGGTGTTTGTATCTGTTGCTTGTCAGACAGTCTGAACGTGCATTACATATTCTTCTATATTCTTGATGGTTTGGCTGTTATACATGATATGGCGAAAACATGGCATTGCTTCTAATTGGTGGGTTTGGCTGTTTGAGCCACACACATTACTAACAGCATACAATGCGATCCAGTGTGCACAATGACGAGGTATAAAATGGACCTCCACTGGACTCTAAAGCAGTGGAAATGCTTTCTCTGGAGTGACTGAATCATGCTTTACCATCTGATGGAGGAATCCAGGTTTGGTGGATGCAAATTACCTGCCCCAAATGCAGAGCGCTTACCCTAAAGTTTGGTGGAGGTGGAATAATGTTTTTCATGGTCTGGGCTCAGCATCTTAGTTCCAGGACATCAAAGTAACGTGACCAACTTCTTAAGGAAATTAAGGTTATTTAATGTCCCTGCCTTAATAACATGCTTCAACAAATTATATAATATATTTGAGTTTGCTTAGTCAGGTAAAAATTATGAGCAAAAAAGAACTGTCTTTGTGAAAGAGGTGTGCGAGTGTGAAGAATCTAAGCACTATATTGTAAAGTTTAAAGAACCTCAACATAACCTTATATAACTTTCCTACTCTAATTATATATCCTAAACATTGTACTTCTAAGCCAAGAACCATTTAGAAACCTTAAATATTTTAGAGTGTTCCTGCAAGATCTGTAGTATGTGCTGTTCATTGCGTAGAATATTCATGCATTTTCCTCTCAGCCATATTAGTATGAGAGCGCTTTCTGGCTCTACAGCTCATCTAGAGCCTAGGGAGTGTTCCACTCAGCCTGCAAACAGCTGAGCCTCCCTAGGCCATGTTAATGGGTTTCGTGGCCCCTTTTTCTGGACTGTTTTGCATGTCAGATGCTTCATCCAGCTGCAGGCTGAGTGAAGTGGTGACGTTATTCGTCTGGTGTTTGCAGAATTCTTTCTAATGTGGCTAATAACGAATCAAAACCACTGGAGACCAGTTAGGAAGATTTCATTTGCATAATCCTAAGTGCTTGCACTTAATTGATGCCTGCATTAATTGATTATTATAGTAATATTCATACTTTGGAATTAATTGTTTTTTTTTGTTATCTCTTTTTCTGTAGTCACTGGCCCCTTCGGTGGATTGGCTTGACTACCTGTCCTCTGTCCTTTCACCCCTGGAGTTGAATGATACCGAACCGGTGGTGGTGTACGCCAAGGAGTACCTGCAGCAGGTCTCGGAGCTCATCAACAAGACTGACCGCAAGTATGCATGTCTCCATGGCTACAGGCTGAACCGGCTGGCTACTTTCCAAGTACTCAGTCGTGTTTAACATGTTAAGTGAAAGTATTCCATCTTCTTAGTCTGTCCACAATTTCCCAACCACTGTAATGAAGACCCACACAGTGGCTGAGAGTGGTGAAGTGTGATGCAGGGTTGTTCTTTTCTGTCTGGATCCCCAAACTTGATTTGAGGGGGGATGTCATCCCCCAGGTCAGATGTAAAAAAAAAAAATCCTTAAAAAATCCCCCTTTCCATTTCCATTGAATTATTATAATATTACCATGATATAATTGTGATTCAATGGTAATGTGATTGTACCATGAGTTTCTTAAATATATTTTAACTCCATATCAATTTGAGATTTATTCACCCATTTGCCTTAGATGTGTCAGAAGTTCTTCATATCAAACAGTCAAGTTAGGATTGTGGTAAAGAGTCTGCACATTCTACTGTATAACCAATGCGCAGCTTAGTTACATTATGAGATGAGATGTCTGAAGAGCTTTAGTGCTTTCATGTGGTAAGTTTAGTTAAAGTTCATAACTGACCACCCCCTTGAACATTTTTTACAGTTCGACCACTGCTTTACACTGCATTCTACTTCATAACACTATACCATGCAGCATCAAATATAAAGCAGCACATTGTTAGATCTCTATCCATTCAGTGTTTTTTACTGTGTGGTCCCAAACAGTCCCAGTTCCAGATAATTATTTCTGTGGAATTAATCGAAGTGATACAAAACATATGTATACCAACAAAAGTAAATGATTTGGGCCGTAGAACAGTATTGCAATCACAACATGTAGCAGTAGCACTGCAACACTAGTATACTAAATTGTGCAGCACTAATATAATATATACTAATAGTTTTATTAAAGCAGGCACACTTTTTTTCTTCTTTTCTTCTTTTATCTCTCTCCCTCTGTCTCTCTCCTGTAGTCTGCTGAATAACTACATGATTTGGAATCTGGTGCAGAAGGGAGCATCCAGCCTTGACCAGCGCTTTGAAAATGCCCAGGATAAACTACTGGAGAGTCTCTATGGCACCAAAAAGGTGACTACAGCTTCTCTTTTTAGTATGAAAGAAACTTTGGCAAACGCATTTACTCATTATATATCATTTAAACCTGAGACAGGCCAGCAAGTTGTTTACTCTCCAAGCTGCTGTACTCCACAAGCATTAAAACATCTGTTCCCCTCCCCTCCCTCTCTCTCTCTCTCTGTGCAGTCATGTACTCCACGCTGGCAGACATGCATTGGGAACACAGATGATACGCTGGGTTTTGCTTTAGGGGCGCTCTTTGTCAATGCCACCTTCGATAAAGACAGCAAAGAGATAGTAAGTTTCACAGTGAACCAAGTACAACACAGTACTGTTTTATCTGTAAACGTCAACCTATTGTTTCTGTTGACTAGGATATAATTTCACCTGCTAGGTTTTACATTGTTTTCATTATCTTGCACATGGTCACAAGTGACTCTTGGTTGCCACTGTGTGGCCACATTGTGAATTACACGGTAGAGAAACTGCAGTAACAGCCTGTAGTCTTCTGGGTTACATTGCTGTGAGGATTTGATAGCATTCGGCCACAAGAGCATTAGTGAGGTCATACTGATGATTTTGGATCACAAACGCCACTCAAACCCATCCCAGAGGTATTGGATGATGCTCTGTCACTCTAGAGAATGCAGTGCCACTGCTCCACAGCCCAGTGCTGTAGGGGTTTATACTTGGCAGTGCTCATGGTGATCTCATGTGCTGCTGGTCCAGAGCATGCCATTCTATTCACAATGCTTTTGTAGGGTGATTATAAAAGCTATGTGTGCGCAGTTGAACACCTGTGTCAGCAATGGGCACGCCTTAAAGTAGCTCACTTATTAGAAGGGGTGTCTGGATACTTTTGGACATGTAGGTTGTATTATATTAGATATAATATTAGATATAATATAACTTTTTTGCCATTCAATTACATACTAAACTGATCTCGATTCAGCACTCATTACACTGACGTTTGAGAAATTTTACAGCTGCTCTTCTCTCCATGCAGGCTGAGGGCATGATCAATGAGATTCGAACTGCTTTTAAAGATGCGCTGGACAACCTCAGTTGGATGGACAAGCAGACACGACAGGCTGCCAAGGACAAGGTGAGCGAGTGCGAAGAAATCAAACTCTTGCTGCTAAAATATGATCCCAGATATCGTGTTTAAACAAGACGTTAACATGGATAACACCTGTGTTTTTTTGTTAAGGCTGATGCCATCTATGATATGATAGGCTACCCTGATTTCATACTGGACCCCAAGGAGCTTGATGATGTTTATGATGGGGTAAGTGAATAAACTCATCTTGCGTGGTCTTTGGAGTGATCAGCCCTTTCTAACACAGATCTAACACAAAATGATATATTGTTGTAAATATTCAGGAGAATTTGCTGATGCTAGAGTTATTGAAATATTATAGTCATTGTAGACTCTCTGTGCTTCCAGTATGATGTGTCAGAAGATAACTTCTTCCAGAACATGCTCAACTTCTACAACTTTTCAGCACGGGTGATGGCAGACCAGCTCCGCAAACCTCCAAACAAAGACCAGTAAGTGTTGCGCATGCTAGGAAAAATTAGTCCTGTGTGAACATGAGATCAGTCAAACGTGTGCGAAAGATTTCAGTGTATATATATCCATTCAAATTTTGATTTAAGTCCTAGGTTTCATGGTAATTGTTGTCAGTTATGAAATTTGTGAACTATTGTCACTACATTGCTTGTGCAATATCATACATTTCCTCACTGCCTGAGTCATCTTCTCAACATAGTTATGCAACCTGCAACGCAAGTCCAGTTAAAGTGTTTATGGTAGTTGTAGTCCATCAGATATTTCCAACACTATAGAATGAATCCAGATTTGCACGCGAAAAGGCTTGAGACGTACAAAAGACACAATTTGTTCAGTTTGGATCTGTAACACTATGGGTAATGTCAGCTACGATTTGGGATTTTACCATTTGCCTGCTGAAAAACATTAGTCAGCCCAAAAATGTCATTGGTTTTTGAGGCTGAGACACCCTCTACTGTCTTTACTGCCTTTCCTAACTTTAATCTATATCCTTTTTTAAAACTCATTATATTAAAATCACATGCTTAAAAATGTTTAGCCTTACCTTTAGGTAATAAACAATTTCTGTTGCCATTCTCTCAAACAGTGAGTGTGTTTACATGCACTTATTAATCCAATAACTGCAGAAAATCCGATCAACATGTTTACATGCACTTGGGTAATCAGATAATGGAAAAATTTCGGGTTGACATGAGTCAGACAGTATTCAGATTTCTGCATTGCCACCGGCCAGTAAACTCAGTAAGTGAGTAAACTCACTCAGAATAAGACAATGCACAATGTAAGGTTTACAGGTATGACTGTGTGTGTGTGTGTGTGTGTGTGTGTGTGTGTGTATGAGTGAGTGATGGTAGGAAAGCATGTTTTGTTTTATTTTATTTATTTTATTTTTATTTACTACATGTAAATGTTTATCTGAAACTGTACTGTGAGCTCCTGTAACCAAAACCAAATTCCTTGTATGTGTAAGCATACCTGGCCAATAAAGCTTGATTCTGATTCTGATGTAAATGTAATGCAAAACTCGAGCCATTTTACCTGAAAATATGAACATATATCATCTAGAATATTTAAATTCTTCATTTCATCAAGTTGGTTTTAGTGTCGCCCCAAAAGTATTTTGTTTCTGTCTTGCGGGTGCTGTGTTGCTGTGTTAAACACTGCTTACTTATTTCCAGTTCCACAGTTGTTTTCACACATGTGCAGACTGAGAAATCCGAAAGAAATCCGAGTAAGACTCTACATGCACTGAGAAATCTGATTACTGAACTAAAATCCAGCTCTCTTTATCAGATTTCTTAATCGGATTTCTAGGCCTTAGTCTGATCTAAGAAATCAGAGTATGCTGTTTACAAGACCATTTGAATAATGAGGTAACTGCAGAAATCCAAATATGATTGGATTATTGGGTGCATGTAAACACACACAGTGACCGCATCCAATCGTAAAATCCCGCTGGTGTGTATTTTGTCTCCTAATGACATACAAAAACGCTACTTGAATGCAAAAAGCACCCTCTTTGGGTGGAATCTGAGTTATCGTGTAGAAAATAACCTCTGTAAATGTTACAAAATGGTCACATTAGCACAGAAATGTTTTTTATTTCAGTGCTACAATTTTAATTTGTGGGACAACGTTCCTAGCATTAGCACTACATGGTTAAAATGTGTACAGCCCTGACATATAATCTACTTTAGTCCAGAAGTGCAAGAGAGTGCCTTTGTTTCTCTGATTGTTTACAATCAATTTTAACTCTATAGATGGAGCATGACTCCCCCCACAGTAAATGCATACTACATGCCCACCAAGAATGGCATTGTCTTTCCTGCTGGAATCCTGCAGGCTCCCTTCTATGCTCGGGACCACCCAAAGTGAGTATATATTTCTGTGTGTATGTGCGCGTCTGTGTGTTGGTGGGCCTGATGCATTATGATTACACAGTACTATGCCTCTGTCAGTTGTACGAAGCATGATGGATGTGTCCATGTTGTATTTAACAGAGCACTGAACTTTGGAGGCATTGGTGTGGTGATGGGGCATGAACTTACTCACGCTTTTGACGATCAGGGTAAGTAAATGTGCATGTGTACACTCTTAGGGTGTGCGCATACCTAGGTCCCAAAAAGCACTCTTTGGAACTGTGTTTGATTCGCAAAGAACATTTCAGTATCTGGTCCTTTAAGGAATTTTTGTAAATGAAATGTGCAAACATGAAGAACTTTTTAAAGTTTAAAGAACCTCTACATGTAAATATACCAAATACTTCTCTTAAAACCATATGTATAAATCAAAAATTGTTTACAAACATTTTGTTTTTCAAATTGTGTGTACAAGTTGTTGCTGATCTTTCTTTCCTTGCAGGCAGAGAGTATGATAAGGACGGAAATCTTAGACCCTGGTGGCAGAATTCTTCAGTGGATGCATTTAAGAATCGCACAGAATGCATGGTGGACCAGTACACTCAGTACACAATCAATGGAGAACACATAAATGGAAAACAGACCCTGGGAGAGAACATTGCTGATAACGGAGGCCTAAAGGCTGCCTATCATGCAAGTTATATTCTCTGTTTTTACGTAAAAACCACTAACTACTGAACAAAGCCTCATTATATCATTTAGTATTTGCAAAACTGTTTTGTTTATAAACATATTTTGATATATTGAAGTATAAGTAATAACAAATATATTTATGTATTAAGGAAGATATTATTCATAAACGTATTTGTTTATTAGGGGTGTAATGATTTAGTAAATACATATTACATTTTAATTCATTACAATACAATTGTATCTTAATTTAATATGTTTTTCAGCACAGCAAAAAAGAGTGTCAGATTTAGCAATATGTTAATGTTAATATGTTATTGTTTCCACATTAGAATTGTGCAGTCTGGTTTCTCAGCAGAATATAAACATAAACTAAGTTGTGCTTTAAAACGCCCTGAGCTAACCTGCTAGTAAAGAGTAAAATGATACAGTATATGCTGTTATATGTCACGATACAATACAGTACAGTATGGGGAGTGTATTGTTATGCTCCTATTATTTACTTAGAATTAATTAAGATTCACAATGTGCTGTTGGTGTGTTTGCAGGCATACAGATCTTGGGTGCAGAGAAATGGAGAGGAGAAAAGACTCCCAGCAGTCAATCTGACCAATGACCAGCTCTTTTTTGTGGGGTTTGCACAGGTAAGCCGCCAGTCATGACTGTCTAGTCTTGACTGAGATAGATCGTAATATAAGCATTTTTCCACAATCCACCATTTTTCAGTATCAGGGAAAGATTTTCCAGCTCATGCATGATTTTGTGTGTTTTTGTTGCTGGTCTGTGGTTTAATAAGGGAAGCAGCAGTAAAACAGAAAACTTCTTAATGTCAATGAATTCTCGGTTCCTGTTCTGGTCAACCACTTGATTCTTAAAAACCTGTAAACACCAGCTGTCCTGTTCCTCTCTGCAGGTGTGGTGCTCTGTACGGACACCAGAGAGTGCTCATGAGGGCCTGATGACGGACCCTCACAGCCCACCCAAATACCGTGTCATCGGAACATTGTCCAACTCGCCCGACTTCGCCCAGCATTTCCAGTGTCCACTGGGCTCTCCAATGAACTCAGGCCACCGGTGTGAGGTGTGGTAAAGCTAGGAGCATGGTGAAGAACCAGGGGCCTCTGGCTTGCTTTGCTTTGACAAGTCAGAGCTGAATGGATGGACTATACTCTACCAAGCACTGGACCTTTTTCTTTTCTTCTTCTTTTTTCCGGTTATGGAATATGAAATGTTGTTGGACACAAAGTGGACTTGAACGGGTTGGGCCAGAGCCTGGAGGATACACAGGGAGTGTGTTAGCTAACGTTTGCATTGTCCAGCATTGTAGGCAACTGATTTCTCACTCTCCTTCTGCACGGCCACAAAAGCCCACGCAGGGCTGTCTTATTTATTATTTGCTGCACTTGAACTTCTGGGTGATACGGTGAGGATGAGGAAGAATCCCCAGCCCTTTCCTATGCTTTTATGTGTTTTGTTTTTTTTTTGTGCTTCATGACCTGTTTACAGCAACCGTGGACGGGCTTTCTTCTCCAGGAAGAAAAAAAAAAGACATTGTGATGTCAGAGGGAGTGCCCCTCCTTCACTTTGACTTCAGAGGAAATGTTTGGCTCCCTCTGTGACCTCACAGGAAGTGCCATATGCTCTTAGTGACCTCACAGGAAGCATTAGAAAGTGGAAACGCTGAGCTCCAGCCAGGAGCCAGTGGGAAGGAAGTGTTTTGAGGATAAAAGTGTTGCGTTTTTTCTTGTTGCAATCTCACCAATAAACTGTCGACCAGCAGTTGGTTCATAATGGGGACAGCCACTACTCGTTTCATTCAGCCTGTGTATATTGTCATTAGCATATTATGTTGACAAAGTTGAAATGTTATTTTAAACTGCTTTTTGCCAAAGAATATTTTTGTTTTTTGTTCCCGTGTTTTCTGTGTTCTGTCTGCTTTTGCTTACTCACACACTGGTCAGGAGATGTCTGTTATACCCTGCGATGTTTAGCTGGCCTGTGTGTGTGTGGGTGCTCAGATGCACATATGTGCGCCGACATGGGTGTCTGTGAAAGGACAGAGATGTATGTCTTCTTTTGCTAAACTTTCTATGACGTCTAGTCTGCTGAAGTGATTTAACACATTATCTTTTTTTTTTTTTTAAACCACTAAAGGAGAAGAGAAGCTCTGTCACTGATGCTCTTTTCCTTTTCTCTTTGACAGTGTTTCAGGCTGTATAAGTGAAGGTGTCATGGGTTAACCGACCCAAGCCACACTTGGACTGATGCTAATTCAACTTCCATCTGTGATGGTTAGATTTTCCATGTATATAATTCTCTGGCTATCCTCAATCTTCACCCAACAATGCTAACATTGTTAACAATGAATAGAAGCTAGTGGGCACCAGTTATCAATTTAATTTCCATAACCGTTTTCTAGCTCATCTCAGCTAGCGTGCATTCATCACTAGCAGTGTTAGCATTTCTTTACTGGTCTTCATTGATGAGCCTTGTGGTTTACAAAAGGATATTACTACAAGGGGTGGGCGATATGGCAGAAATATTACATCATGATACTTCGAGATTTTCATGAAACATGATATGCATCACAATATTTAGTTTTTCTGAGATTTAACAAAGAAAGTTGGAACAGATAAAGGGAATCTGTAGTGCCACATAATAATAATAGTAATAATAATAATAATAATAATTCTGCTACAATGATTTTATTCAGTGTTTTACAACTGCACCAAATCCAGTTAAACAGGCCTAATTATGCTCACTTTGTAATGAAACATGTAGTTCTTTAACTACTGACAATGTCCACGATTCAGAAAAGCGAATTATAACATAGTTTATCACGACAGCGATAAAATAGCGTCATATTGCCCACCCCAAATTACTACCCACTGCTACCTGCTCTCAATCCCAAAGCAAACTGACATTTTATTTGTTTAAAAGCTGCTGGTATCTTCACTTTTCAAGCACCCTTTAAGTGAGTTCATGTTTCTAAAGCCACTTGAAGGTGTTTTCAGTCTTGCTAGCTTAGCCACACTATGAGGAGCTGGGTTTCCACTATGCCATTGAATCATGTGAGCACTCGCTGTCTATTTAGCACATAACCACACATTGTGAATTAACTGTGTTAATCAATCACTTGATGCTAATTTTGGACCTTCATTCAGATATTGTATGTATAGGATTGCAAGTGTAGACTCATTCATCAGAAGGTTTCAGGTCCCTCCGTCTGCCTTAAAATGCACTTCCGTTGGATGGAGAGGGGAAAAAGATGCTTTGGTTGGCTGTATGAGCCTGCAGTGCTAACATCCCTGTGCTAACTGCTCATTGGTTGGTCTTTCCAGAGACTGATCAGGCTAGTCCTTTGTGAAGTTGCACCTCCGTTGCTAAGTATGCTTATTGAACCTCCAGCCAGAGAAACTTCACTTCACCTCCCTGCTTTCTCCCAAAATAACACATGTCCCCCTTAAGTCTCTCTCTTGGTGCGATACTCACTTAGAGAAGTTTTAACTTCATGGCTATACTGAGGCATTTGTGATAACCCTCAAATATCTACAGAGTGAAATATAGACCTACAGGAATAATAGTGCATATATATGTACATGGTTATATTTAAAATGAAACTTGAAGGCCTTCAAATAGACGTTGTGTGCCATTAAGTGTTATTGATGTGTGCTTTCACCAGGACTTTTTTCCCCATTTTTTCTAGTGGTGAATCTTGCCAAATGGCAGGTTTGCTGGCCAGTCAAGATCTGTCTGTGATGTTTTTGACCAGTGAGAAAGTAGCCTTGTTTGTCATTTCGTTGTCAAAACATTATTATTCAAGAAATCAAGAAATATGTCCTTTACCAGTTACTGTCCAAGGATGATATGAGTGGGGTTTGGTTCTCGTTTGCTCTGTGTTTGTCATTTTTCATCTTTTTTGCTCCCTTTTCTTTAAGATGTTATGATGTTATAGCCTTATTTAATTCACCAAGTGTACATTTCCTTGACTGATAGTTTATGTTTTTGTACTGGTGGTATTGAAGGTTATACTGACTGCTTTTGAATTTGTTAGTCAAAAGGACGTTCCCTGTCATCAGTTCAATCAGCATCTGTCAGAGGACGCTCTGCCCAGCCTATAGTGCAACATTCCACCTAGAAAAATATAAACAAATCTGAAATAAAAACTATATATTATAAAAAAAAACACTCTTCTACATGTATGGTTATTATGTGCTCCTTTTGCCATTCTCGCTATCGACTTGAAGGGCAGTAACTGCTGTGTCGCTCACTGTACAACAGTGACAGTAATATATTTAGAGGAGATCTGTCATATTTAGCATGTGTGAAAATGTAATGTGGCATGGAAGTGCTAGTGAGCCATCTACAGAGCTGATGAAAAATGTATTAGACTGAGCTAGTTAACTGTTGAACTAATGTCAACAGTTAAATGGTAATTGAGTTGGGAAACAAACCAATACATTAACATGATGCATAACATATTTCTCCAACCTGTTTTCATATGTTGATATATATTGGTTATTACAATACCAAAGAAGGCTTTCTTTATGTATATGTATATACTAATTCATCCATTCAGATGATTTACATGGGCAGAAAGTCCAGCTCCTTGCCCAGATGCTGTTTAAGCCAGGGCATAATGGAGAACACACTGATGTGGAAATCACGGGCATCTTCAGGAATGTCAGGAGACGGCTTGGAACTGGAATCACACACACACTTAGTGCCCCAGCTCACCACTCCCACCTACAGGATAACAACAAACAGATTGATGCAAACTGAAGCAATGTAATTGTGGTAGCACAAATACACTCTTCAAAAAGGGAAAAAACTTTGATTGGGTTAGAAATCTTTAGTGTACATGGAAGTTCTTTAAACTTTAAGTTTTGGGCATGTAAATTCAGATGGACAATCCAAAATATACCCAGGAACATAAGAGGTCAAAAATGATCAACACTTGCACGTCTCAGTTACAGAAATGGTTCTTTAAAGAAACTTTAGGGAACATAAAGTGGTTCGTCTATGACAGGGGTGTGAAACTAGAGTCCTTTTGGGCCACAGCTCCACAGAGAATAGTTTTAGTTTTTATCTGAATTCAATTAATGAAGGCTTTGCTAATTAGCTGACGAGTTGAATCAGGTGTGTTAAATGAGAATGAATAGTTAACCTTTTTGGTCCCATAAGAACCATGTACCACAGGTTCTCCATCACAGAGAAAACCCATTGCAATTAACCGTTGACGCATTGAAATTGCACTTTTTGTGAAGGTGAGAAGAAATAAACAACATCTACAGCAAACTGTTTTTAAAAGTAATGTTTTTCTGCTGTTAATGTTAATGCACAGTTACTTTATATTTCATTAAGTAAGTAAGAGAAATAGAAAAAAAGTAGTGGTCTCATATAAAAGTTTGGACAACTGCTGCAGAACAGGTTTACTTCTTTTCACTTCAAAAAAGCAACAAAAAATCTGGTGAGGGGTGCATGTGCTGCATATGACTGCGCTATAAATGAGATAATTCTATGAACAATCAGGATTTCATTTAATAATTTATTATGAGTGAATTCATGCAAGCATTGTGTATTGTTCATGAATTTGTTTATTAAGTAATGTTATAGACCAGCTATGCCCCCCAAACACACACTTACTAGCTTTGATTTGTTCTGTTGCTGTTTTAATGTTATGGAGAATTCCAGAAAAGACATTTGGAATGATGACCAAAACTATGTAATATGTGACTACAAAGAACAAGAAGAACCAGTGGAACCAAAGAAAAGGCAACTATAAACTGTAATCATTATCTGTCTTACTAAAGAACCTCTGTTTTTAAAGGTGTATGACATATACCCTCCAAATACGGTATATGGTTGGTATAATGTATTTGACAACACCTCTGCCTTTCATGCTGTAGACTGGGGTTCGATCCCCTGGGTAGGCTCCCTATGCTGTACCAATAAGAGTCCTTGGGCAAGACTCCTAATACCACCTTCACCTATTGTATAAAATGATCAAACTCTTAAGTCACTCTGGACAGGAGTGAATGCCAAATGCCGTAAAATGTAATGTAAATGTGAATACCCTTTCTGGCATCTCCTTGTTGTTTAGAAAGGATGGATGCTATTGGGAATGTTTTTTTTGGCATTATTCTTGTAGCTCGTTGCATTTTAATCAATGCTATTATTCAAACATTTCAAAGATTTCAAATGACTTACTTGGAAATATCTCATCCCCTTACGAAGGAAGAGTGGACCCCCAGAATCACCTGCAAAAATGGAATAAATAATTGATGTGTGGTTATGTCACGTGTGATACTAGGAGTGTATGTGTGTGTTCTCTTGTCTTTTTAAAAACCTTTGCAGGTGAGTTCATCCCTGTGTGCTGTTGATCCTCCGGTGCACAAGAACCGGTTGGTGACGTCGTCAGTCAGATTTACCAGCTTGCTTGAAGATAAGGCTGGTCTGTACTGCTCAATGCAGTTCTTTTTCTACAAACACATACATGGTTGTTTAAAGAGTTTTCAGGTTACTCCCACATGGCACAATCTGGCTGTTACCTTTGCTTAGTGATAAGTAATTGTGTAGTAATTCACCTTTTCGTTAGTCTGGATGTGAGTTTGTTTGCGGGTTTTGCCCTGACTGATGAAGTACGCTTGAGTCTCCTCCAGATCCAGTAAGGAGTTTTCTGTTCAGGCACAACCATTAGCCATACATTTCCATATGATACAGTACTTACAGTCGTAATTACTAATTATTTTAACAGGGCATTATGCTAGTTAATTAACATACGGTGTTTCTTGCAGGTGGAGTCAGGACTCATTTTGAGAGCTCGATTTGAAGCTTTTGTGCACGGCAGACAGATGGGCCTGTTTGAGACATCAAGAAAAAGGTATGCTACTTTTTAAACCAAATGAAAATGTTAGCTAGCATGTATGAGTTAATGTGGTGGTTTGAAATGCAACTTAAAAACAGAATATAATTCATTTTCTTTTTGAGTTCTGTCTTACCGTGCCTCAGAAGACAACTTAATCTTACTGCTCACACTAATCAGCGCTACATCGTAGTCATAAACATTAAATGCATTGACGTTCTTGTTTTTGAGGTGCTTGATATTGAAGTCTGGATGACGAATTAAAGATGAGGCTTTTGTGTTTCCATTTCCTAGAACACATGAAAAGGCAGCTGTTCAATATTTTACAGCACTTGTGACATTACGTCAATAATTCAACCAGTGATTTCAATCAAACTTTGCCTGTGTTGTACAGTTGTAGAATGACTGCAATGTATGCTGTCAAGGTGTGGGAATCCCTCACTGGAACCTGAATACTCCCATTTTTTTAGGGCAATTTGAAGTCATTTTTAGATTATAATATCAAAGTCATGTTTAAGATCTAACAAAAATCCAACTATTATTTGAAGTGCAACGATTGAAGGAAAAAACCTATCATGAAAACTCTTATCATGAAATATTTTTCTCAGATCTGCACTATATTGCCAAAAGTATTCGCTCGTCTGCCTTCACACGCATATGAACTTGAGCGACATCCCATTCTTAATCCATAGGGTTTAATATGATGTTGGCCCACGCTTTGCAGCTATAACAGCTTCAACTCTTCTGGGAAGGCTTTCCACAAGGTTTAGGAGTGTGTTTATGGGAATTTTTGACCATTCTTCCAGAAGCGCATTTGTGAGGTCAGTCACTGATGTTGGACGAGAAGGCCTGGCTCGCAGTCTCTGCTCTAATTCATCCCAAAGGTGTTCTATCGGGTTGAGATCAGGACTCTATGCAGGCCAGTCAAGTTCTTCCACACCAAACTCGCTCATCCATGTTTTTATTGCTTTGTGCACTGGTGCGCAGTCATGTTGGAACAGAAAGGGGTCATCCCCAAACTGTTCCCACAAAGTTGGGAGCATGAAATTGTCCAAAATCTCGTTGTGCTGAAGCATTAAGAGTTCCTTTCACTGGAACTAAGGGGCCGAGTCCAACTCCTGAAAAACAACCCCACACCATAATCCCCCCTCCACCAAACTTTACACTTGGCACAGTGCAGTCAGACAAGTACCGTTCTTCTGGCAACCGCCAAACCCAGACTCCATCAGATTGCCAGATGGAGAAGCGTGATTCGTCACTCCAGAGAACACGGCTACACTGCTCTAGAGTCCAGTGGTGGTGCTTTACACCACTGCATTAGACGCTTTGCATTGCGCTCGGTGATGTAAGGCTTGGATGCAGCTGCTCGGCCACAGAAACCCATTCCATGAAGCTCTCTACACTGTTCTTGAGCTAATCTGAAGGACACATAAAGTTTGGAGGTCTGTAGCGATTGACTCTGCAGAAAGTAAGCGACCTCTGCGTATTATGCGCCTCATCATCCGCTGACCCCGCTCTGTCATTTTATGTGGCCTACCACTTCGTGGCTGAATTGCTGTCGTTCTCAGTCGCTTCCACTTTGTTATAATACCACTGACAGTTGACTGTGGAATATTTAGTAGCGAGGAAATTTCATGACTGGACTTGTTGCACAGGTGGCATCCTATCACGGTACCACTCTGGAATTTACTGAGCTCCTGAGAGCGACCCACACTTTCACATATGTTTGTAGAAGCAGTTTGCATGCCTAGGTGCTTGGCTTTATACACATGTGGCCATGGAAGTGATTGGAACACCTAAATTCAATGATTTGGATGGGTGAGTGAATACTTTTGGCAATATAGTGTATGTGTGCCATAATTGCTTGCAACCCTGTAATTCATATTAGTAAAAAATATAGTATATCAGTATATTCCCATTCATATTTAATGTTTTAAAGTTGATATGAGTGATTAGGAACATCAGCCATGACTTCCTGTTTTAATGGGATATAAATATGAGGTGGCACACTGGCTACATTCCCTCAGCCATCCACCATTATGAGACAGACCAGAGAAAACAGCAATGATATATGACAAAAGGTTGATAAGCTGCACAAAATTGGAAATGGCTACAGGAAAATGGGTTGAATGGTCAAAGAATCTTCAAAGATTTCAGTTTGCCAGACGTTACTGGAACTTTCTGTGGGACTGTATTCTATGGTCATTTTGGCAACAAACACCAGAGGTGAGTTTGGCATAGGCACAGAAATAGCCATGTAGGAATGTACCTCATCCCCACTGTGAAGTATGGTGGTGGATCTGTGATGTTGTGGGGATG